TGATCCATCCTATCTTCAAATCAATTTAAATTATCCACAATAAGGTCCGCATATTCTGTAAATTTGGGTACACCGGACACCTTGCAAGGTAGATTTGGGTCTAAAAATACACAATTTACATACTAAATGTTCACAACTTATCTTTTAAAGATTCATAATTTGTGATGACCCTGTATTGTATTCATAAATTTTCAAAATTTAGAAATACAATTTATATTCTAAAAGATCACAATTCAAAAACTTAAAATACCCAATTATATTCCGATCTATGGTATAACAACTGTGGCAAATTATGCTGTGCATCCGTATGCACCATGCATGGTGCATACGGATGCAAAAACGACGTCGTTTTAATAAAACGCGCGTCTCCTCTTAAAAAAAAAATCAGGTTCGATTCCCAACAACAACATATGAACTAAAATTCCAGAATCGATGAACTATAATTCCATGATCGATGAACTATAATTCCAGAATCTAATCTATGAACTAAAAATTCCAGAATGAATAAACTAAAATTTCATAATCTATGAACTAAAATTTCAGAATCAATGAACTATAATTCCAGAATCGATGAACTATAATTCCATAATCAATGAACTATAATTCCATCATCTATGAACTAAAATTCCAAAATGAATGAACAATATAATGTTGTTGCTGGGAATCGAACCTGAAATTTTTTTTTTTAAAGGGAGACGCGCGTTTTCTAATAAAACGACGTCGTTTTGGCATCCGTATGCACCATGGTGCATACGGATGCACAGCATAACTACATATATTCTTGATGGGCCAAAACCAAGTCAAACCCGTCAATTAAGGAGTCTAATTAATCTAAAATTCCAAATAGCTTGTTCCAACCTAATAAAATATTCCTTCAATTTGGACTGAACAATCCAACATCCAATTAGACTTTAAATGTTTATTGGGCATTTAGTTGACCCAATTAAATAGTAGTATAAAATTTTTAATTCTTTCGTGATAAATTTTTAATTCTTCCGTCATAAAATCTATCAGACATTTTTTTTAGTAGTGTAAACATAACATATTGGGGAAACAGTACTTTTGGCCCCTCAATTGTTTTACTTTTGGAAATTTAGTCGCTCTCAATTGATTTGAATAAATCTAGTCCCTTAATTGTTAATAATGTACCACATTTAGTCCCCCATATTATATAATTAAAAATTCCTTTTTTTAATAATTTTTTTCAAAAGGTTATAAGTGTCAATTTCTTTAACCTAGTAACTTTCTTTTTCATCTGTACGCCTTTGCAGAAGTCAAGAGCCCTAACTGAGCTCTTTCCTTCGCTCTCAAACAACATCTATGTACATGAAATTTGAAGACTCAAAGGTTGAAGTTCGTTGTTTACAATGACTAGTAGAAGGTTATCTGGGTTAATCGGAACGCCTAAATGTAAGTATTTATTTGAAATTCAATATTTTGAACATAGTTTTAGTATAATTTTTTCAAGAGAAATTTACTAAAATATGAAATTTGAAGAGGAATTTACATGGGTAATTTATAAAACATTGTGTTCGCAAGAACCTATTTCTCAATTTCATTACTATGTGCAGAAGCTATTTACACAAAAGTTTCACTGAGTTTTTAACCTAATATAATTGAAATAGGTTCTTGTGAACACAATCTGAAGACAATTTGTATTCTCAAGAACCTTAGAGTTAGTAATACTGTTTAATTGAAATTTTCATTTGTTTTGTTGTTATGTTGCTGTAGTCATTGGTTTGTGGATTTTATTACTAGTATGTGTTGTATTCTATTATGACTTGGGGAGTTAGGGGGTTGTTATGCATTGTTAAATTCAAACTTTTCACCAATTGAATTAACTCATATTAAATTTTAATCCCTGTGATAGATACTACTGAGGATGCTGGATTTTATACCATTAAAATGTATTATGGTGGAGAGTTGGTGTTACAACCAGCTTTGGATTATCAGAAGGGGAGAATAGAATATTTTGACTACTTTAATGGAGAAGAGAGCAGTATGCTTGAACTTAGGAAATTGGTGAAGGAGTTAAAAGGTTAATGACAAAAAAGTCAACTTTTGGTTTAAGTATGGCAGATGTAGGGACTCAAAATTTAAGAAAATTAAAACTGATGCTGACTTATATAATATTGTGTATGAAATACCAGAAAACAAAATGGTTGCGGTTTTTGTGGAACATGTAGTTGATGACCAGTGGGATTATGATGTTGAAATCACCCATATATCAGATGAAGTCAGGATCATGAATGAAATTTATGCAAATGCTATAACTGCTCCTTTAAGCCTTGGTGAAGGCCCATCAAACTTTGTTGCAGCTAGTCTGAGTGATTATTATTCTACTCCAAATAAAGAGTACTTTGAAGACAATTTGTATTCTCATGAGGTTGAAGATAATCTTATAGACACTACCATTAACTGTAAAACTACGAGTGAATTTGTAATGGTTGGACCTGAGGACATGATAGAAAATGATTGTGTTCAATCTGAAGAAATATTAAGGAGCTTGGGTTCAGAATCTGAAGGTGAAGTCTCCAAACATGTTGTTACTTTTCAAGAAAAAGACTTCCATAAGGAGGGATTTAAATTTCAAGAAGGAATGATTTTCAATTCTAGTGCTGAATTTAAATGGGCTGTAAAATGCCACCAAGCTATGAGAAGAAAGGATATAAAATTTGTTAAGAATGAAGGTAGAAGAGTGAGTGTTAAATGTAGAGAAAAGAATTTTAAATGGACAATTTATGCATAAAAGAGTAATGAAAATTGTCCTTTTACAATTAAAACATATAGATCAGAACATATTTGTGGGGATCAGTATGAAAATAAGATAATTAACTCTGGTTTCCTTGCAAAATCCTATAAAGATGAGTTTGGACTAAATACTTCCTGGGAAGAATGGAGTTTCAGGAACATGTTAAAGCTAAGTTTAACTGTCAACTGTCCATGCATCAGTCTTATAAAGCTAAGAAGAAAGCATTGAAGAATTTGGAAGGTTCTGATAGTGATTAATTTGATTTGTTACATGATTATTGTGAGGAGTTGAAAAGAACTAATCCTGGTACTAATGTCAAGCTAAAACTTGACAGTGAATTTACAGTACATGGCAGGTCTAGATTTTTGAGTTATACATTTGCTTTGGAGCATGCAAAGAATGATTTCTATTAGGGTGTAGACCTTTGATTGGTTTGGATGGTTGCCATTTAAAGGGAAGTCAAAAAGGTGGACAACTTCTTAGTGCTGTGGGGATAGATGCAAACAACAATATGTTCCATATTGCTTTCTCAATTGTAGAGGGGGAGCTTAAGGAGACTTGGAAGTGGTTTTTGCAGCAGTTAGATGATGACTTGAGTATATCTGAAAATCCTCATTCTTGGACAATAATCGCACTTTTGGTCCCTCAATTGTTGCTCGATCTGCAATGTGGCCCCTCATTGTCAATTTCATTTAATTCAATCCTTCAAAACTTTAAATCTTTGTCAATTTAGTCCTCCGGTCAGAATTCTCTCAAACTATAGTTAATACCATGGACTTTTTAGTAATTTTGCAATATCCTTTAAAAAAAAAAAGAAGAAAAAAGAAAAAACCAAATCTTCTACGACAGTTCACCCCCAAATTAACTTAACCCCAATTTCAATTGTTTCAACCCCCAAATTCCAGAAGCCCTATATTCGCTCACCTCTGGTCCCCCTTTATGCGATTAAGAATTTTGAACTACAAATCCTACTGCTGAGGACGACGAGCACAAGCACGAGCATGATCAGTTGAAGGATAAATGGCTCCAATACAACTCCTACGTGTAAGTATCCGAGCTCACCTATGCTTTATTTTTTGCAGTTGAAAAGTAATACTTTGTCTTGTTTGTGTTATTTAAAGAGATTTCACCATGTGCAATGTGTTGGGTTCTGAGATTATTGCTTAGTGGGGACCAGTTCTACTTTAATAAAGGAAAAATCGCATGTACATTGGGGAACTTGAAGCAGTGTTGTATGTTTATTTTTCGCATGTACAATGTGTTTGGTTTTGGGATTATTGCTTGGACTGCACCTGTTGTAGTTCTAGGTTACTTTGTTGTACCCACTTGGGGACCATAGGTAGTGTACTGTAAAACTGTAAAACTGATACTTTAAATTCAATTGTTTCGGTAAACTGTAAAACTGAAGCAGTGTTGTATGTGTTAAAATTGATGCTTTAAATTCAATTGTTGTACCCACATGGGAACTTGAAACAGTGTTGTATGTTTAAAACTGTAAAACTGTTAAATTCTTTCTGCAAAACTGTAAAATTGACAGTAAGTTTAAATTCATGCTTTATAGATGTTGGTGAGGATTCATCTGTGTTTACTATAAAAATGCATATTGGTGGTAATTTGGTATGGAAGCCAAAAGTTGAGTATAAAGATGGTTTTGTGGAGTATTTTGATTATTTCAACAATGATGAGGGAAGTTTACTGGATTTAAGAAGGATGGTAAAACAACTAAGGTTTTGTGATAAAAAGGCTCAATTCTGGTTTAAGCGAAATGGTAGGAAAAATGCAAAAAAAACTTGAACTGGGGAAACTGACCTCAGATGCAGATATTTTTGCTCTTAATGTAGATGTTTCAACAAACAAGGAGTTGGACATTTACGTTGAACATATGTATGATGATCAATGGGATTATGAAGTAGAGATATCTAGGTCTTTGGGAGATGATGCACTGTTGAATGATGGCCTAGATGAGACAAGTGAACAACATTCTGAGAGGGAAGCAAATGGACCAGATACTGTGTTTGAAGAATATGAGGTAGAAGTTAATGGTCCTGGTCCTAGTTCTAAGCAGGTTAACAATGAGGAGGTTGAAGTTGATGAAGTTGATTGTGTAGTTTCTGAAGTCATTTTAAGGAGTTTAGATGATTCAGATTCTGAGAGGGAAGTTAATGGTATTGAGACTGTGTTCCAAGAAAGAAACCTGAAAAAAGAAGGTTTTAAGTTTGTTTTGGGAATGATTTTTAAATCTGCCTCAGAGTTTAAGTGGGCTGTAAAGTATTATGAGGCAATGAGAAGAAAAGATGTTAAATTTGCAAAGAATGAAGACAGAAGGGTAAGGGTTTTATGTAGACACAATGACATTTGCAAATGGATAATTTTTGCCTCAAGAAGCAATCCTAAATGTCCATTTCAAATTATAACATACAACCCTGAACACACATGTGGTGACCAAGATGAAAACAAAACTGTTAACTCAGGATTCCTTGCTAAGTTGTACAAAGATGATTTTAGATTGAATATGGACTGGGGAGAAGACAGTTTCAAGAGCATGTGAAAGAGAAATTACATTGTCAAGTTACAAAACATCAGGCTTATAGGGCTAAGCATAAGGTTAGAAAGGAGCTGTAAGGCCAAGATTCTGAACAATTCAAGATGTTGAATGATTATTGTGATGAATTAAAGAGAAGCAATCCTGGGTCTACTGTCAAGATGAAGATTGATCGTCAGTTTATTGTTAATGGCCGATCTAGGTTTCTTAGATTGTATATTTGCTTTGCAGCTTGCAAAGAAGGCTTTCTAAGAGGATGTAGACCTTTTTTGGGGTTAGATGGTTGTCATTTGAAAGGTAGGTAGAAGGGAGGGCAACTGTTAAGTGTTGTTGGTATTGATGGAGATAGCTGCATGTATCCTATAGCCTTTGCTATTGTTGAGGGAGAATTGAAGGAAAGTTGGACATGGTTTTTAGAACAACTGGATAGTGATTTGAACATAGGAAGCAATCCTCATGCCTAGACTATTATATCAGATATACAAAAGGGTTTGTTACAAGCTGTAGAAGAATTGTTTCTTGGACTGCACCACAGATTTTGTGTAAGGCATATTGTTATGGGCTCGGGAATCTGTGAACGCGTCACTGGGCGAGACGAGGGAACGGTTGCTCTTGATTTCCCTATGGTTGTAGAGACAGCGAAGGAAACAAGAAAAAACAGGAATAGATTGAAGAGTTTTAGAGATCTTCCTCTCCCAAATGTTATAAGATAATTTTTTAAAATTCAAATTCGATGCCTACCTTCAATCTTTCTAAAGCTATATATACTGAAGGCCTAACGTTACTTAACGTTCATATCCTTATTGTTGCTAGCGATGTCTGCGTCTGTGGTAAGTTTTTCGTATGAATGCATCATCACACCCCTCCAAGTCAACAAGCTTGTCCTCAAGCTTGAAGTCCGGAAACAATGACCGAAAGTAAACCAACGGTTCCCAAGACGCATCTTCCGGTGCGGCGCCAAGCCAGTGCACCAGAACTTCCTGAACGCCGCGGTTCAACCGGGACTGAGACACGATGTGGGGTTGAAGCAAAACCCGGCCATCGTGCAATGGGGGCAGGGCGGGTTCAACACTCGGCGGATCACTGTGGAAAGGCTCCAGCAAGGAAACACGAAACACGTCGTGGATCCGACTGGAAGAAGGAAGGGCGAGCTGGTACGTGACAGCGCCCACACGCTAGAGGATTCGAAAAGGACCAAAAAACTTCAGAGAGAGCTTGTGGGACACCCGGCGATTGACTGAAAGCTGACGATAGGGATGTAGGCGTAGCCACACCCATTGCCCCACATCATACGTGACATCGCGGTGAGCACGGTTGTAGAACTTTTCCATACGGACCTGAGCAGCATGGAGGTGGTCCCTAATCAAGGCGAGAAAAGCGTCGCGATCGCGAAACGCAACATCAACCGTGTCGAGATTCGACACCCCTGGCTCGTAGGACAAGAGGCGCGGAGGATCGCTACCGTAAACCACTGGGAAAGAGAAGTCTGCAATGCGGAGTGGAACGAGGTGTTGTAACAGTATTCAGCCCAAGGTAGGCAATCGATCCACTTCTTTGGGCAATCACCTACCAGGCATCGGAGATACATAGAAATTTTGCGATTCGTGACCTCGGTTTGACCATCCGTCTGCGGGTGATAAGACGAGGAAAAGGAGAGAGTTGTGCCACAGAATCGAAATAGTTCTTTCCAAGAAGCACTTGTAAAGGTGACGTCTCGATCACTAACAATGGACTCCGGAAGGCCATGGAGTTTGACAATGTGCGAGAAAAACACACCTGCAACGGATGCTGCTGTATAAGGATGGCCCAATGGGATGAAATGGGCGTACTTGGATAGTCGATCGACGACGGAAAGGATCACCGATTTGCCGTGGACTTTTGGTAGTCCCTCGATGAAGTCTAGTGAAATGTCGCTCCAGATAAGTGATGGAATCGCCAGGGGCTGTAGGAGACCTGTCGGTAGAAGGTTTGCCCATTTGCAACGTTGGCATGTAGGGCATTTTCAGACAAAGTCGCGGACGGCGCCTCGCATCCCCGTCCAAAAGAACTCCTAGGAGATGCGAAAAATAGTTTTCTGCGCGCCTTCGTGTGAGACGTCGTGAAACCCTGCAAGAATAACTAGAATTAGTGGAGAATCCGGGAGAATATAGATCTTACCTTTGTAGCGAATGAGGTCCCCATCAAGTGACCAGTGAGGCCCCACGACGTCGTCCGTAATTTTCCCCCATAATGACTGAGCGGCCTGTGAAGCGGCGAGTTCCTGGCGAATGGCATCGAGAATAGGGGAAATCGGCACTGAAAGAGCCATGAGAGAAGGTTCGGCCTCGTCACGTCGTGACAAGGCATCTGCGACGGTATTGAGGCGGCCTTCACGAAATTCCACTTCAAAGTCATAACCCAGAAGCTTACTGATCCAATGATGCTGTGGCGACGTCGTGAGACGATGTTGAAGAAGGAATTTCAGGCTATAGTGGTCGGTTCGGACCGTGAACGGACGGCCCCATAAGTAGTGTCGCCAATGTCGAATGGCCTGGGATAACCCAATTAACTCCTGTTCGTACGAGGCAAGTTTGTGGTGTCAAGTTGGTAATTTCCGACTGATGAAAGCCACCAGGTGAAGATCTTGGTGTAAAACTGCTCCCACGCCGACTCCTGAAGCGTCGCGCTCCACTACAAATGGCTTCGAGAAATCTAGAAGTTGTAACACCGGCGCTATGGTAAGCGCGATTTTTAGCGCTTGAAATGTTGTTGTCGCCTCCGGCGTCCAGACGAAACTTTTCTTACGGAGAAGTGATGTCAAGGGGGCAGCTATTATCCCAAAGTCTTTAATAAGTTTGCGGTAGAAACCCGCCAGACCAAGGAAACCGCGCAGGCCCTTAACGGATTGCGGTTGTGGCCAATCTAAGACCGTCTGGACCTTGCTTGAATCCATGGAAATGCCGTCGGCGTCAATAATGTGGCCCAAGTAACATACCTTGTCGACCCCAAATGAACATTTGGATTTTTTAACCAACAATTGATGACGACGGAGGAGGTCCAACACTGTCCGTACATGTGCGATATGTTCCGCCCAGGATCTGCTATAAATTAAATATCGTCAAAGAAAACTAAAACAAATTTACGAAGGGCTGAATGAAAAACCTCATTCATGAGAGCCTGGAATGCCGACGGCGCATTGCAAAGACCAAAAGGCATCACCAGAAATTCAAAATGGCCGTGGTGTGTCCGGAATGCTGTTTTTTCGACATCTTCTAGGTGCATACGAATTTGATGATACCCGGACCATAAGTCCAACTTCGTAAAGAAGCGAGTTCCATGCAATTCATCTAATAGCTCGTCGATTACTGGAATCAGAAACTTGTCTTTTAATGGTTTTAGCATTTAATTCCCTGTAGTCGATACAAAATCGCCACGTCCGATCTTGTTTGAGTACTAACAAGACCGGGGAAGAATACGGCGAACGACTAGGCCGTATAATGCCTAATTCCAACATGGAATTACACTGACGCTCAATTTCATCCTTCTGCGCCTGGGGGTAGCGGTAGGGTCGAACTGCTACTGGGTCTGCGCCCGTAACCAATGTAATGCGATGATTACACTGGCGAGTGGGCGGCAATGTCATAGGTTCCTGAAAGAGGTCAGAGTAATCAGTTAAAATGTGTTCTAGAGCATTACCGCTGCTTACCTGGGGTAGTATGGCATTTAGTAAGTGGCTTGGCGAAACTAATTCCCATTGCCATGTTACGGGCATGCCATCATACGTAAAAGTCATGGTAAGTGCGGTAAAATCTCAAAGAATTTCACCTAGTGTGCGCAACCAATTTACCCCTAATACAATTTCAAAACCTTCTAACGGAATAACATATAAATTAACAGGAAAATAATGTCCATCTTTCTGAAGCGAAACGTTGTCGCAAATGCCAAGCCCAGTAATTCTTTCTCCGTTGGCAACCGCGACCTGTAAATACGGGTACCCGTGAATTGGCAAGTCAAATTTATTTGCCGTGCGAGAGTCCACAAAGCTATGCGTGCTCCCTGAGTCAATTAGGGCTGTAATTGGAGCATTATTTAAACTCAAATTCACGCGTATAGTATTTCCGTTCCCAGTTCCCGAGAACGCGTGCAAGGAGATCTCTGGATTCTCCGTTTCGCACGCGGTGGCTTCTTCATCCTCGTCGACCGCTGGCGGGGAACTATCGTCAATTACCAACATAAAGAGATGGCGGCAGTTGTGCGTTGGAGACCAATCTTCATCGCAGTGGAAGCAAAGCCCCTTCGATCGTTGCCTCTGGTACTCGGAACGCGAAAGGCGTCGTTCAGGGGGCAGACTGGAGGAGGTCGCGCCTCGCGTCGCACCAGGGAATCGCGGATGGGAGGCCGCCGGTCTGGGGGATGCGACAGAATGGTTGCTGGCCGAGCTTGTCGCGGACGGCGTCGACTGTGATGGATGGGTTCGCGTCGCTGGCTATTGGTTGGGGCGCGATGGTGCCAGCCGCGACGAACCACCTGCAAAAGGGGAAAAAGAGGGTGAGCGGGATGGGAGGGCACTGGTTGGTGCCGATTGGGCAGTAGCCGCAAGGCACTGCTGCCGCCGTGCGTAGGTTCGGGCGAGGTTTATGGCCACGTCTAGGTTCACCGGACGCGCGGTTTCGACATCGATCCGCAACCACTCATCGAGCCCAGCTGTGTAAAGGTCGACCTCTTGGTCTATGCGAATCGCCGGAGTGCGCACCAACACCTCCTGGAATTCGTCGCTGAAATCATCCACCGGACGACCGCCTTGGTTGAGCTTGGCCAGACTGCCTAGCGCATTGCCTCGGAGGCCAAGGCCGAAACGTATGATGCAGCGGTGTTTGAATTGAGGCCACGACAACGCTGGCTCCTCCATCTCCAGGTGGGAGTGCCACATTCGCGCCACCCCCGTCAGGTGGAAGGTAGCCATGCTCACGAATTCTACCGTCGCGTGCCCTGGGCCCTATAGAACTGCTCACACTGGTGTAGCCAACCGGTTGGGTCCTCCCGGCCATCATAGCGGGGAAATTCCAGCTGGGCCAATTGGGGAGTAGCGGTGGTGATGGTGGGGGCTGGCCGAGCAGGCGCGGTGTCACCTGGAGGCGGGGGAGGTGGCCCGTCATGGCTACTGGCGTCGTCGGCTGCGGGCGCCTTCCCAGACAGCAGCTGCCGGAGCATCTGGCGGAAGTTGTCGTGCTCTGCCTTTGCAGCAGCGCGTTCTGCCTCGTGATCGGCTTGCAGGGCGGCAACCGTGGCTTGAAGGGCCTTGAATGAGTCTGCCAAGTTCTCGCCCATGGCGTCAGGCTCTGATACCAAATTTGTTATGGGCTCGGGAATCTGTGAATGTGTCATTGGGCGAGATGAGGGAACGGTTGCTCTTGATTTCCTTATGGTTGTAGAGACAGCGAAGGAAACAAGAAAAAAACAGGAATATATTGAAGAGTTTTAGAGATCTTCCTCTCCCAAATGTCATAAGACAATTTTCAAAATTCAAATTCGATGCATACCTTCAGTCTTTCTAAAGCTATATATACTGAAGGCCTAACGTTACTTAACGTTCATATCCAAAAAAATAGGAACTAAAAAAAACAACTTGGAAATCTGAATAAAAATAAACAAGAAAGAGATTACTATAAATAGCTTGGCTTCTTATTCTTTACTTTACTGCTTCCTTATTGTTGCTTGCGATGTCTGCGTCTGTGGTAAGTTTTTCCTATGAATGCATCACATATGCATGCCAACTTTCTAAAGGATGGTTTTACTGGAAATGTTTTGAAGTTGAAATTGTGGGCTGTGTGTAAATCTACAACTGAGGCAGATTATAAAAGCCATATGGAGGAGTTAAAGGCAGAAAATGAAAAAGCTGCTGAGTGGTTGGCTGTCAGAGATCCTAGTCATTATTGTAAGACATTTTTCAGCACTTTTCCAAAGTCTGATATGCTTTTGAATAATTTGTGTGAGTCATGTAATAGCACTATCTTGAGTTTGAGGGACAAGCTTATCCTAACCATAGTTGATAAGATCAGGATATATCTAATGACTAGAATGCAAAAGAATAGAGACAAAATGAAAACATATCAACATAAGATTTGTCCCAAAATCAGAAAGTGTCTTGAAGAGACAAAGGATATGTCAGCTAGGTTTAGTACTTATAAGTCACATGAAAATATATATCAAGTTGATGATCAGAACTTCAAGACCTTCAAGGTGGATTTAGCCCAAAGACAGTGCAGCTGTAGAGGATGGGATCTCACTGGCATTCCTTGCAGTCATGGTGTAGCAGCTATAAGGAAACAAAGAGAAAGCCTTGAAGATTATTTGCATCACTGTTATATAGTTGAGTATTATTTGAGAGCTTATGAACCTGCAATACTTCCCATTCAATCTTCAGATTTATGGGTTAAACCAGATCTTCTAGCACCACTCCCCCCAAAGTATAAGGCACAACCTGGTAGGCCAAAAAAAAAGAGAAAGATATACCCAGTTCAAGAGAGCAAGCAACAAACTAAACAAGTCAGAACAAAGAAATTAGAGGAGGTGAAGAGATGCAGAATATATAGACTGACAGGGCATAATAAAACTACTTGCAAGGCTAAAAATCCACAGGTAATGCTATTAGTTGAGTCTTACATTTAATTTTGATTATTTGAGTGTTGTATCTAATAATATTATTATTATTATTATGTAGGTATCTGAAATAGCTGAACAGAATGATGAAGTTGAATAGATTGAAGAAATACCAGTTGATGGGCAGTTTGAAGAAATACCAGTTGAAACACAAGTGCCATCATTTGTACTTGATGAAATGGTGATTGGATGTTCAACATTTAGCACTTTATGTTGGTTGTTTACTTATTATTTCTTTACTGACCACTTATTTGCATATGGATCTCAGGAGGTAATGAGATCTCAGCCATCACAACCACTTCACAACCAGGTTCCACAAGAGTGTACATTTATTGCTTCACAAGTTTCAACTACAAGTGCTGAAAATATGCTGACAAGAGGAGGAAAAAAGTTTACAACTCTATCTGGAATTCAGAGATTAGCCAGGAAAACTAATTGCAAGTGACCCTAAGGGAATAAAGATGTATTCATTTTGTAGGTTGCTTGATGTATTTTGGTATTTAGCAAAATAATGAAGTTGCTTGCTGTATTTTGGTATTCAGCAAAACAATGAAGTTGCTTGCTGTATTTTGTAGGGCATTTGCTTGATTACAATTGACCATGTTTTTTTTTTTTTTTTTTTTTTTTTTTTTTTTTTTTTTTTTTTTTGCTGAAGTGGTCATTTGTTCTTTTACCAGTTTCACTGTGAATGTAAGGTACAAACAAAGTTTCTCATTTCACAGTTTATGCAATGCAAATGCAGTTGATTTTACTCATTTGGTTTTTTTTTTTTTACTGACAGTTTATACAATGCAATGCAAATGTTCATTTCTTTATATTTGCAGTGTTTTTAGCCATATCATTTTGCAGTTTTATTAGTACAATTGTTCCCAAGCAGTTCATTTGAGTACATAATTCAAACACAAGCAGTTCATTAGAATTACCCAAGCAGTACACAATTTTTCAAATTCAATAATTCAAACACTAGAATTACCCATTACAATACATAAAATTTCCATGTTCAATAATCTAAATTAACACTATAATTAACCATTACAGTACATAATATTTTCTAGTTCAACTGAAAAAGCTTTTCACTTGGATAATTCGTTTTCATCCAATACCTGAAACAAATAAAACCAACAACAATTCCAAATCCAAAACCATACAAAAATTGAAATTTGGACTCCAAAATCTTCTTCTTAAGATTGACATTTCTTTCTTCAATAACAGCTTCAAGCTTTCGCATTTCACTCTCCTGCTTATCTAACCTCTTCAATAGACCTCGAGTCACATTGGACACACGCTCAGAGACATCGGAGTCCAACCATTGAAAATACCTACAGTTCTCATTCCCCTTACATTCATAATCAATTAACAAAGTCATAAGTATTCTAAAACCTAATAACAACAAATAAAAATCATTTAAGATGCTTACACGTGCTCCATAGCGTGAGCATGCTCTAAATCGCTTTCCAGGGTTGGCATAACTCCAAGACATCCTTACCGGAGCGACTTCACCTCACCAACATCGCACTTCTCGAATCCACTCTATTGAACCATCGAAGTAGTTTGAAGACATGCTCGTGCTCGTGCCTCGTCGTCCTCTCGTTGTCCTCTCCTCGTCCAGTTTGCAGTAGTGAGAAATGGTAATCGCAGATTGGGAGGAAACATAGCACTTCTAGAAATAACGCGAGTGAATTAGGGGCTGACTGGCTGAGAGGAATTGGAGGTAATTTAATTTGGGGGTAAATGTGGTGGAAGATTGAGAGTAATTAAGGGATATTGTGAAATTACTAAAAAGCCCATGGTATTAACTATGGTTTAAGAGAATTCTGATCGGAGGACTAAATTGACAACGATTTAAAGTTTTGAAGGACCGAATTGAATGAAATTGACAATGAGGGACCACATTGCAGATCGAGTAACAATTGTGGGACCAAAAGTGCGATTTTCCCTTATTATAGTTAACAATTTTATACACGTCTAAAAAAATTGAGAAAAATGTTGATTGTATTGGGACATTGAAGAGTCTCATCATACGTGTATATAGGAAATCAAACGCAAAAGTGGATTGGATGACCATAAATATTTATGAAAATGTGGATTATGGATAATGGAACATTCGTTTGGACGATGTCTAAGAGAAATTCAACATATTTTGCGTGCATATGTTAAAGTTCAACTTCAACAGCGAAGATATTTGTTGTTTTTTTGATGACATAAATTGTACGTAAAATATATATATATATATATATATATATATATATATATATATATTATGACATTATAAAAATGTATTTATAACAAAAGCACTACCACCCTTTGCGAAATATTACTCCAATAACAAAAGCATTACCCGCCTTTGGATTCCAATGCAATTTTTGTCTAATAATAAAGTTTTGAAAATTTTGGTATGAAGTAAAAATGCCAATAGCTACCAAGAACAATATTGTTTGGGTATATTGTAAATGAGAGGTAAATTATACTAGGAAAATTCTGTGTGATAGGATCAATCAAGGAAGCGTTGACAAAAAAAATTTACGGGAAAGATAAATTGTATTACGACTTTGTGCAATAGATTCAATTGAAAGAGTGCTGACAAGAATCGAACTTATACTTTTAGATATATAAATCATATTCCAAACTTAGACCTACTACCCGGGCCATTTATTGGTTTCTTTGATACATTTGAGTAAGACTAAAAGCGCAAATTATTATGTGGATCCGAATCCACCTTGCAAGGTGGACCGGAGTCCAAATGTCATAATTTACCTTTTAAAAATTCACAATTTATATACTACAAACATACAATGTTAACATATATGTAATTGATTACCTTGTTTTGTATTCAATATTCACAAGTTCTTTTAAAATACAACACTCACACAATATTAACAAATTAAAATTTGATGACCTTGTATTGTATTCACAAATTTCCTTCTACAGTTATGTGTTTTAACTTAGAGCGATTTTCTTAGTCGAGTGCTTTAGATCAAAGTTTGACCGTGCTCGAAAATAGTCGCAACCGGTCAAGCCCGAGTAGGGTGGGAAAAGCATTCTTGTCTGCGATCCGCATGATTGGCAAAAAAGTAATTAATAGTTTTCATTGCAAACCCCGTCTCTCGATGAGTCAAGTTCGACCCGTTAATCACAAGTAAATCCAAATCCCGTAATTGGCAAAGTGGATCTTCAGATCGCAATCAAATCAACCTCCTGGTCATACTCACCAGTCCGGTCGTTAAAAACGACAAGGTGTGATCTCGCAAATTGCGTTGCAAGTCCGACCATTAGGTCGGGCACTCCATTTTGGTCCACCAGACTGCGCTTAAAGTTGTGCTCTTTTTTCCTGGGCTAAATTTTTTCCCACTGGGTTTTTTATCAGCTTAAGGTTTTTAACGAGGCAACCGGCGCATGTCAGTGACCGTCTAACTAATTTTTCCGGCCCAAACCCTTCCTTGTTAGCTCAGCGTCAGGGCACGAACTGGGGGGGAAGGGGGGCTCTTGATAGGATATATATCCCGACACCGACCACCTGTATGTCCGTGAGCTCGTTTATAAGCGGATCAGGGTCAAGCGGTTCGGGACCCGGTCCACGGGTCAAAGTCGGAGGTGACGGATCTAACCAGCCACCCTGCGCATAAAAAGGCTTGGAGCCCTCAAAGTTGGGAGAACTCCATTCCATTATCTCCACACACACTCTCTCTCTCTCTCTATGCATGCCCTCCCCCTTCTCTCTACAAGAAAAGACCCAAGAACAAAACATGAATAAAAGAACCCCTTTCATCTACATCCTTTCATCTACATCTCCTTGGTTCATGGTTCTTACATTTACATATTGTACATATTATACATCACATATATACATCCAGTACATACAACCGACCACTGGGAGTTAATACTATCAATAGCATAATGTACAAAAAAAACTTAACGAAAAAAACAGACATAAATGAGGGGTATAACTTTCATAATAATAATAATAATAATAATAATAATAATAATAATAATAATAATAATATCTTCTTATTATTATTATTATTATTATTATTATTATATAAATGCATATATTTAACTAATTACATTTCTAATATACATACATACATACATACATATATATATATATATATATATATATATATATATATATATATATATATATATATATATATATATATATATATATATATATATATATATATATATAGGAAAAAGTTTAAATACGGTGACACCCTCTCGTGCGGTCGTGCGGCGGTTTTTAGGATACACCAATAGTGTTAACAATATGCATTAATAGTGTAAGAGAAACACACAACAATGAAGTGGTGTATATTTTGCTTAACTATTAGTATATTCTGAAAACCGCCGCACAACCGCAGGAGAAGGGGTCGCCGCACCTGAATTCGACTATATATATATATATATATATATATATATATATATATATATATATATATATATATATATATATATAGGGAAGGGATCAGGTGCATTTGTTGCTTCCCGTGCGGTTGTGCGGTGGATTAATGTGCGTGAGGTTTATACTTAATGTGCGTGAGTATTGTGCTTAATGTGCCTGAGATTTGTACTTAATGTGCGTGATGTTAATATGCGTGAGTTTTGTACATAATGTGCCTGAGTATTGTGCTTAATATGCGTGAGATTTGTGCTTAATGTGCGTGAGTAGTTCAGAATTACGATCTCAGAAAGAAGCAGAACAGAAAACTCACGCACATTAACGCCCAAGCTTCTTGTTACTTCTTCCTTCAATTTGTCCATGGATTCTGGATTATCAGCTACCTTCAGTACAATTGAATGTTTATATATATGACTTACGCACAACAAAATTTGCACACTAGCTAAATGTGAATTTCTGTTGTATTATCATCATAATTCTTAATCACCATAGCTTGCCTCTGCATCATCATCATCAGGGAGGGGGCAATGGCTACTGGGGATGGGGAAGAAGCTGATATCCATATTTTCTGCTGCATTTTACACATTCACGCACATTAAGTACAAATCTCAGGCACATTAGACACAACACTCACGCACATTGAGTACAAATCTCACGCACATTAATCAATCGCACGGGAAGCATTCACTCTCTCTCTCTCTATATATATATATATATATATATATATATATATATATATATATATATATATATATATATATATATATATATATATATTGGGTATACCCAGGGTTTCTACCGTCGAACACAGTGACTAATCCCATCGCTGAATTGTAGGCACCTCTTTTGGGTGGGACAACTGGCCTGGAAATTTAATGCTGCTCCATTCTCAAAGCAATATATATATATATATATATATATATATATATATATATATATATATATATATATATATATATATATATATATATATATATATATATATATATTATAAAAAAGGTATTATCAGTATTAGAGTACAAAAGCTATTCCCACTTGGGAATAGCTAATACCAGGGGGTCCCTTAAGAATGACTATTCTCCCTACAAAGGGAATAGCTCATTCTCGTGAAAGCTATTCCCAGGAATGAAAAGACAAAACAAACAATGAAATAGGTCTATACCTAGGAATG